CCTATTCACACACGACAGTTAATGTTTTTGAAAAAAAATGTTAGAAATGGCAAGTTATAAATACAATAGTAAGTTCAGTATTTTACATATATTTTTCCAATAGGCTGAAAAGAATAAATCTACCCCTTGGAAATGAATCCAGGCCGAATGTCTTGCTGAAGAGCGGACAATATTGAAGTGAGGTGAGCTGAGGTGAGCTGAGGTGAAATGGGGTTTAACGTCGCGTCCGAAATTATTGCACTCATATAGCGACGTGTGTGTGGCTGTTGGTACTTGTCCGGACTGATGCCGATTTACAGTAAGAAGTAAAAAGTACCATCTATAACGTATTTTGGTATGACGCGGCCGGGGATGGAACCAAGGACCTTCCGCTTTCCGGCCGGACGCTCTACCACTGGACCATGGACCTACATCGTGAACTACTTGACAATGTATATCGCCAAGCTCAGCAAAAATTGACCACGGTTTGTAAGTTGGTTGGTTGGTTTGTTGGTTTGTTGTTTGTATGACGGCTGTCTGTAAATAATCAAGTCTGGACCAGACAATCCAGTGATTTACATCATGAGCATCAATCCACGCAATTGGGATACGATGACATGCGTCAACCAAGTCAGCGAGCCTGACCACCCGATCCCGTTAGTCGCCTTTTACGACAAGCATAGTCACCTTTTACGGCAAGCATGGGTTGCTGAAGACCTATTCTACACCAGAATCGGTCTGTAAGTAATCGAATCTCCAGTGATTGTCATCATGAGCATCGATCTACGCACTTGGTATACGATGACTTGCAGCAACCAAGTCAGCGAGCCCTGGGCCCGTTCCACAAAGGGATATTAGCCTTTTCGACTTCGTAAGTCTGTGTTAAAGTACAGCAGTTAGGATCGTATTAGCGCTACGATCGCTTCATGGAGCTTGCCCCGGGGGCCCTGACCTGGTACACATGTCTCCATGCCGATGTGATATCGCTGAATGGGGCTTACAATATATGCGAGAACAAAGAATATGCGCCATGACATGTTGGCTAGATTTGTATCATAGAGGGTTAATCGAACTTATTTGACAATGTAAAATAACAATAATATAGTGTCCGTAAATGACGTTTAAGTCTACAGCAGTTGCTTATTTCTAACAAAGATTGATTGATTTTAAAAACGATTACTCTTAGTTTCCTTCTCAGATTTGTTAAACTATATTTTTTATCCCGTGCTCATAGATAATCACACAAGATCAATGAGTAATCAAGAAATTAATACAGTAAACATAGAGTTTATTATCTCTTAGATAAGCTAATTTTCATTCATGCAACTTGAGTAGTTTCTAAGAAAACTTGTCCCTATTGCACCCACTGTGTACTAAGTATAATAACATGGATCAAAGGCCGTAACTCTGTAAAGAAATGACCAATTTTCGAACTCAGTCTGGATAAGTATCTCTTAGATAAGCATGCAAACTTTCATTTATGTAACTTCAGTAGTTTCTGAGAAAACTTGTCCCAATTTCACACAGTATGCACGAAGTTGAAAAGCATGGCCATAAATGTAAAAAATGAATTTACGACAACAATTTTCGAACTCATTTGAGATCAGGACCAGTAACATCAGTGTGTAAAATTTTATTTCTCTGACTGGAATAGCTTTGGAGAAAATTTGTCCCCTTTGTGAAGCGGATGGACAGACGGACGTACTCCGTTCCCATAACCCACTCCACACTTCGTGGCGGGGATGAAAATGTGAGAGGCCCTTGCGCCGTTCTTGAATCAGGAGTAGTGTGGGAAGCTGTCAGGAAATAGAGGTTTTCAGATAGGTAACCAATCCGCACTTGGCAAGCAGATAATACAGGTCGTGTTTCATTTGCAGCCATCTATAATTATCATGGGGGTGGACAGTTTTCTGTATTTTCATTTTAGATTTTGACATTTTCGCTTTTGTTTTTGACATTTTCGTTTTTGTTTTTGACATTTTCATTTTAGTTTTAACCTTTTTGTTTTTGTTTTTGACATTTCCATTTTTTGACATTTTCTCTTCACATTTCAGCGATTCAATAGCTACTTGAAAGTGCATTTTCCATGTTTTCGGTTGTTTTATACATGATTTATCACATATTTGTATGACAAATCGTGTTGATTTGCAAAAGGTTACGCTAAAAGTAAGTGAAATATCAAAATATCAGACTCCATGTACCTTATGGGCCACCGTACTCTCATCGTAATTAATTGCCTTAACAGACCACAACACGGCTATGTAATATGACAGACACCGTCTTGAATGCCAGTGCGATAATTGTCTTTAAAGGCCAGTGGTGTCCACAGTTAATAGCTTTGTGTTACTTGAATTGTCTTCATCACTACCACTACTACAGTACCCACTCACTCTGACCAACACACCCACAAGTACCACTACAACTACGACGACAACGATGACGACGAGCACCACCGGTACCAACTACCACCACCACCACGACCAACAGTACCACCACCATCATCGCAACATTATATAAAAGCGACAAAACCCTTTCCATAATCATAAAAAGTCTCTGCTAAAAGCAGTTCATTGTACGATTCTGACCATATCATAAGCATGTGTTTATCATTATCAGTTAGTGATGATACCAGGTATTCGCGAAAAGATGAGCGTAACCTGCTCCACCGGTACCACTCGTTACCACCGCACCAATATTATACAATCTCATACCGACATCTCTTTCTCATCCATCACACCCACCATTACAACCACCATCACACGCCACCAACACCACCAATACAAACACCATCAACAACAACAACAACAACAACAACAACAACAACAACAACAACATGTTTTATACGGATCTTCATTAAAAGACTTCAGATTTGTGAAGAGTCAGATCTAGACTAAAGAAACACTATTGTATTGCTCTTCTGTGTTAACTCTCCAGACATTTTGGTCTTCCAGACAATGTCTCCAGATGATATCGATCTGTTGCTGGTCCGTTCAATAACATCAGTCGATCACTGCGTGATACACTCGATCAACTCGAGTTTACTTGTCCAAGTCTAATTTGCAGGATATTTCTGTATAAATGATAAAGTGAGCTGAAATGCGATGTTCAATTGTCGAAAACGAAGGTCTAGTGTTTTGATAAATCACCGTGAGAAAAAAACCCAAGGGAAACAACATGGCGTGTTTCTTTGATGTTGATTATCTGCACGAAGTGTACATGATAGGTATAGCAATAAATAATTAGTATACACGTATCAAACTATGTGTTGTAATCAATGAGCATCCTTGTCCATGCTGATTCGTTACAATGTAGTCGTCGCATCACGAATCCAGATATAACAATGCACATCACTGATCACATGGGGTGGAAAACTAATATGCGAATCCGTATCTGCACCGCGGTAAAAACACGTCGCGTTTATTCTAGAAAAGTACCACGGTAATTCCACGAAACATATCGCGTTCATTCTACAAATGTACCGCGGTAATTCCACGAAACATATCGCGTTCATTCTACAAATGTACCGTTGTAATTCCACAAAATTCCACCGTATTCGAGGCGAAAAAGGAAACTGGTGATTTTCATAAGGAAATTATAAAAGGTTATGTATTCATAGACTGGTTGGAACTTCAACTTTTGCCCATTTTAAACAACATTAGTGTGATTGTCATGGATAACGCCAGTTAATATAACGTCCGGGAATCAGATACTGTCGCCCAAACCATGTGTAGTCTGAAGGCGACCACACAGGAATATATGACATTGTCGACTTCAGATCATAGGAAACGAAAGTTCAATTCATGCAGAAAATTCGGCTGTATATACAAGACATGTGTGCTGGCGGCACAACACGGTTACGTTGTCTTACGTACGCCAGTCAGACATTGTGAGCTCAACCCTGTTGTGCCCATCTTGGCTAAGTGTAACGGGTTCGTAGCAAGACATAACACAACATTAAAAAGTACAGATTCATATACGTCATCAGCGGAGACAAATGCAACCTCAAGAAACCATCTGTAGAACAACAAATACTTCTGGATTCCCAAACCGCAACCTTCCAATACTCATCACGTTTCATAGCTCTAAACTAGTCCATCATGTTTCCAAGCAAATATAATGCAGTACATATCCTAAATTGCTACCCCATCAATGCACATGTCAATTAAGTACACTTACAGCAATATGTTGAGACCACACCAAACTCGGTGACATTTGCACCTGGGAGAATGCACGGGACGGTGTGAGGTCAATACCCCAGGTTATAGGCCATTTCATACATGCATGACAACACACGAATATTTTCTAGTTTATCATAGTTTATCATAATTTTACCTGTAAAAGTACATTTTAAGGGTAATCACAATGTCAGTTAGGCCAGGCTAGATTAGGAAATTTGCGTTATTTTGATATATGCTCTTATTATAGTCCCCTGACTCGTATTTATTAAATAAAGTAAGGAAGCAGTTTTCTAGCATTTCCGACAGTACTTATTTTTTTAGATCTAAGTCAGCCTTTATAATGATCTTTGGTCTCTCAACTACAGAACACAGATAGCCAAGAGCAGTGATCTGCGAAACCAAAATTCCTGCGTTCTTTTCGTAGAGGGGAATGTCCGAGTAACTCTCCATTCCTTAAAAATAATGGAGCAGAGGCCCCGCAGGGGCCGAGGCCCATTATTTTTAAGGAATGGAGAGTCACGAGGATATTCCCCTCTACGAAAAGATGGTTACAGGCCGGCAAAGCCACATTTCGAAAATAGATAGCCCAATTGATGTGGCTCTCGCGGCAATGGTTATGTTTGCGTGATTGTATAATGTGGCTCTCGCGGCTATGCTGTCAAAACATGCTTTGTGATTCTAACAGGTTACCGTATATAACAAAACAAGTCTTATTTTCTCATTTTTTATTCAACAAGGATAACATATTCATCAAAACTTTACATTGATGAATATGAATAGCATATGAATATCATAATGGATTAATTTTTAATGTCATTACTGCAGATGAAGGAGGTCGCCCACGTGGTCAGCATATTCCATCTCATTCAGGTGTGGGTTCAGGAGCTGGATCTTGAGGGACGCAATACGTGTATCGATTGCCTTGTACTTCTTTCTTCGTGAAGGTTCTGACCACTGGTGAGAGAGTCTCAGGACTGCAACCTCTTTGAGTGACTGCTCTCGCTGAAATAGCTTCACTACGTCGTAGATGTTCGGGTGGCACTTCTTGGCAAGTTTCTTTATCTTGTTGTGCCACCCTTCCAGGTGATTGTTGGTACGGTGGCCTTGGTTTTCGAAATGGTTCCAAATCTCTGCCATGAAGGCCCCTCCTTGAACCCAACTGGTTGTCACGTAGTCCATGAAGGCAGTCACTTTAGGGCCAGCAGGAGAGTCAGCAATGGCATCAAGCCACACATCATCCACTTTGTCACGAGGTACTAGAGGGAGGGCAGCAGTTCTTCTCACCAGCTTCTTCACCTCCTCATCTTCCTTATAGTCCATCACCAGACCTTCTTTCTGCACCCTCCTCCAGATATCTCAATGTGTGACACTCATTTAAAGGTATCTTTAAAGAACACCACGCTTAGTAATTTAGATGTGGGACATTCATATAAAGGTATCGGTAATCAGATTAATTAATTACCCGCTAGAATAGGTGAAATGCACTCAGCTGAAAATGTGGCTCTACCGGTAATAGCCATTTCGGAAATGTGGCTCTCCCGGCTAGACACCAACTCATCCCTACTTTTACACTTTGACAAAATATTCTGTAGTTGAAAATATTTGAAAAACTCAAATGCTGCTTCAAGATAATGTACAGGTGACAAGCAACTCTCCATTCCTGAAAAATAATGGAGAGTTCAAACAATAGAATGACGTCACAGATGTGTTTTAATTCAAAGTAACGAAGCCTCTAACTCAATCAATAAAACTCCATGGAGAAACATACTGATGAGGACTTGGGCGAATACCGTGACGCTAAGATAGTCGTAACTCCCTTACTTTAAGAAAGGCTTACGATAGTCGTAGCACTGAGATCGGTTTGTGGAACGAGGCCCTGAAGTTCATCCCACTTAGAACAGTGTTGTCTTTGACATGTAGATACCAGGGTAATTTAGTGACTCTTGTGAAGACCGGGTCCGACCAATAGCAATTTTCCATCTGTATGTACACAGTGAAACTTCCTTTATCCGGAACCTCATCCTCCGGCCGATTACTAATAGGAACGCTTACAAGTACACAGAGTGCTTTTGTTCCTTTACCATGATTTGACATCCTTCACCTTTCCTTGGAGCCTATGCACTGCTGGGGGTGATGTTCCATTTACAACTGATAATTCGTCATCGCCTGACGTGACCAACAGCCAAATAAACATCCGATACTCAAAGACGTCATATAAGTCAATTTATTGATGATACCAATAGCATATAAAAGCCAATTTCCAGCATTATTTCATAATTGAGAGCTTTTTGAATTTGCGGATTTAACGAAAGCTATTTGTGTTTACTGATTTTTGTTACAGAGGTTCCCTCATATGCCGTGTGTTTACATAATCATTCAAATCATATAAGTTATCAAACAAAATCTTCAGGTCCCGGATGGGTAATGGAACCTAATGATCAATTACAATGGTCATTAGGTGTTGAAAAAGTGTGATATGCCTGATTTTGTGTCATCGTACCCAAACGTCGCTGATCGATGTTCATGCTATCAACCACTAGTTTACCTGGTCCAGATTCGATTATTTACAAACTTCTAATGTTAACAACTTTCACTCACTGATTGACTTTTGCCTCTGAGTTCTGACGAATGATTTTGAGTCTGAAAATCTGTGAACCGATGGGGGTACAATTTGGCATAAACCTTGAATAAAAATGAGAATCGATTAATCAGTATGACGTAATGGTGATGTCCAGTGGCCAGTTCACGTGCGGATGTATTGATGTACAGCTGACATTTACCCTCTTTTCCAAAGATCGCCGAAATATTCTTATTTTCATATTTAAATGCCAATATACGACTTGACCTTAAGATGCGAGCCTTTGATTACTTGTGGACTTGGGTCTCAAGCCGCCAGGATCTAAGACACTAGAATGAATCGTCGACGAGACCTTCCAATTTCAAGGATAAATTAAATGAACATGTTGTCAAAAGAAAGAAATTTGTGCAATATTATAGCACGCAATTGTCAAATGTCAACCCTGGCTGTTCAGCTGAACTTGTAATACGAATTTTCTGTAATGTTTCTGTGTGCTTGGAGCTAATAACATCGGGACTAAAACATTGATTCTTCGTGAAGTCGAAGAAGTACATGCATATGTCCCTATAAGAAGACGATGAACGTTATACATGTTTTTAAATTCGTCGTTTTGCAGCCATTATATTGCGTCCTGTTTATTAGCTAATACAAAGACAAGGACAATTCTAAATATTTGAAACCGTTAGTTCTTCAAATTAGTTACATATATTATTCAATGGTCGTTTAGGGTGTCTGGCGTCTTACTAGTCTTACATGTATATGTCAACCTCTTGAAAACAATATTTATTACATATTTGAGTATTGTTAATCGGTATTGTTTTAAATTTTAAGTATTGTTTTGATCAACTAAAAAAAAGCATAGTTTGAATGTGATTCAAAAAGAGAAATATTATCTATTTCAGAATCTGCCGTCAGGGAAAGTTTCTAACTAAACGGGACTACGCTGAAAGATTGTAGTGGTATGACTGTGACCATATTTAGTGCTTCCTGTGGGTTGGTCAAGGTTGACCTAGTGTCCGGAGCTTCCTGTTTTGGGAATTTCGGTTTCCCGTTGACCGGCAGATTGTCTCCGATATTCCCAAAGCCACAAAAATCAGACTTAATTTGACGCCTGTCCGGTCCGTCCACAGCAGGTAAATGACTGCGAGAGAGGTTGCAAGTTCGGTAAAGCCCCCAACGAGCGTCAACTTAATCTATATGGAAATACCCTGGCACGATCTTGGTAATAATTTGGTGTTTTGTATCATCAGCTTATCCTGGTTGATAAAATGAGGTTCGGAAGGCCTAACCTTGACGTGGGTGTACGCTTCAGTGACCAATTCAAGGAGCTATTCTGAGCCGGGGTCTATTATTCAAAATAGGTAATGCAACGAAAACCATGGATAAACTGCAACGTATTTCAGTGAGTAATATATTAAGTATTTTTATTTTCACTCTTATTCAGCCAACAGAGTTGGAAATGAAAGAAACAACTGAGAAAACATATTCAGTGTCCTATCTGGATCTGTGCATTGAAACTCAAAATGATGGCAACCTCTGTACCAAGCTGTAAGACAAGAGTGGTCATTTCGATTTTCCTATCGTGCATTTCCTCTTGACGTCGAGCAATGTACTATCACTTCAGGGTTATGGCGTTTGTCTATAGGACGCCACCGAATGGCAGGACTATTATCGGATTATTCGGTCAGCCGATTATTCGTGATATCCAGAGTTAACGGTATTTGAATTTGGCTTTCTTAGAGCTTTTGATCTTATATCCTCTTAATATTTTGTGTTTATGTTTCGCTTATAAACAAACACATTGTTAAACAGTTGAGCATTCTGTGTTTAGCATATTAACATGCCATGCTAAACGTAACATTGCAATAAAAAACAACACATTTCTCACAGTAAAACGGAGATCTGCAAACCAATATGTACAGTTAACCGAATATAACAGTCACTGTATTATGTATACATATATACAACAAACTACGTTTATAACGAACACCCTTATAAACGAACTGACGGATATAACGAACCTACTGTTTTGTCCCTAAATTTTGCTGTAGTTATGCTGTATATATGCTTATAACGAACTACGGTTATAACGAACTAAAATTAGTGCTCCCTTTCAGTTTGTTATTACCGTAGTTTACTATAACGTCAATGCAAAAGAATAATTATTAAATTGATTATCCGCCGAAACAGATTCCATTTGACGTTAAATGCAAAATAGCTGTGAAAACTATATGAATAGAACACTGAAAATCAGTGATGACACTGTTCGGGGTATAAGCATAGCTGAAGAAATAATTTTAAGTTAGAGCATGAGCACACTCATGTCATTGTGTCATAAGGAAACCCTTTCCTGTGCCACAGTGGTAGTGAGTATTCTTGTCACATGAGAAGGATGATGTTTCAGACCCCGAAGTTTCCCCCCAGGACGGTTTAGTGTTAGACTAGAGTGGTGTTCAATAGGACCTTAGAAAGACATATGGCTCCTACTTGTTTATGGCTCCGTGGGGTTCTGGGTAAAATAGGTGCACTCACAATCGTCCTCCAGTTCACGACGAAATTAAGATAAATGTCTTTAATATCCACTAAGGTAAATGGAGTAACGAAGCTTAAATGTGTTTGTAAGATCCAGTTGAGAACTGAATATCATCTTTAAAAGTCTCCAAGACCTGTTCCCTGTGTTCGATTTGTGACATGATGGTTAATAATATTTCTTATTCACATTTTTTGTGATGTTTCAGATGAAGGGATTCTTGGATGACTTGAAAACCAAGGTTACCACGTCCTTGACACCCATGCCAACCTTGTATGATGAAGACATGAAGGCCTTCCGTGCAGCACCCGAGGTAGCATCACTCCCTACTTTCGAACCATGCAGACGTTGTTGACAGGCGGCCTGTCCTGTCATAACGTTAAGAAGTGCAATGGGATGTACACAAAGCGACAAAACGAAACAAGGTAACAATTCAAGCATATTTCGGCCAAATACAACTATATTTAATTTGTGGAAAAGGTTTCAAGCCGTACAGATATGGCAACTGATCCTGCTTGGCTAGGCCTAGTGCCCTCGCAAAACTGTTTCGAAATTTATATCTCCAAAGTTGCCACAACTTATAAAATGCCTTAGCTACGTCACAGTTAGACACTGATATTAAGTATATTAGACTGTTCTTTTGATAATGATAGCAATTATCTCTGTAGTTTATCCAGATTCCTGATGGTTAATTCTGACTCGATTGCCGAATGACAAGGGCGACGCCATGTTTATTTATAAACACTGAAAGTAATCCCTACTTGACCTTTGATATTTGCATCTCTATCCGCATATGACCCCAACGCATATCGTTTTTATCAATTGGCTTTATCCTGCCGAGAAAACTACCCATTATATGATAAATCTATGTATTTGTGTGCATGACTGTGATTTGATGATGATATATAAAATGGTAAATAATTATCAGAAATGTCCCAATTTTGTGTTTAGTGATGTGTGTAATCCGGACTAACGGCTTACAACAACATGCGACATGGTCTATTGTACCACTTAGCCTTCATTTGCCAACCTCTCACGAATTCGACCAGGGGCATTAACTTACCCGTGTCCAGTCTTTGGAAACTCGACTTCGTGTGCACAAACCATTTTTATGTGGTGTACACGTTTTTGAAACCACATGATTAAGTCACTTTTTCAGAAGGAATCCGGGAGGTGTCCGTTTCACTGAAACCTCCGGACGCCAAATGGGAA